TTTTCGACAGTCGATAGCGTCAATTAGTGTGAGTAACAGTACGTCTAATACCCCGTTGAAGTTGCACCACATTATTTATTTATTGCTCGAATACATTACATAATTTATGCAGATACAAATGACAAGATCCTGGCATTATTTATGAGGCTCTATCTGCGCTAATAAATGACAATACCATATTCGGCAGCCCTGCTCGCGGTACATGTGGATTTTTGCGTTATCTAGGATAACAATGGACCTGAAAAACAAAATGAAAACTATAGCGAGTCACAGCATCTAACCACTGCTTGCAAGTACCTCGGGAGCGGCCATGGATTAATGTACGGAGCATTTTTTTGTTCTGAAAGCCTCGTGAAAAGCTAAACGATCAAAGGTTCCTGTAGTAGACTCCCACGCGAAAAAGGCGCCCACGTCAAAAGCGGCTAAGACCGATCGTCTTTCACCTCTAGTAAACGGCAGGCTAACTATTGCCGGCAGGGCAGCCGAAAAATAAATTGACGCTCAAGTAATTGTTATAAATATTATTGCATAATTTATGAGCGGTGGCTTAGACCGTACCATTATTTATGATACCAGATTACTATTCCACACTCATAATTTATGATACTATCTCACGAACGGTGCGGAAGACGGCGGCGAGGATCCAGAGGGCTCGTTTGTCCAGCGTCTCGAGAAGCGTCGCCGGCTCGAGGCGCGAACGCCCCGCTACGACCTCATCTCCAGCATCCCGCCGACCTCGAACAAGGTCGAGCGGTTTTCAGCGTGGCGCGTACCACGTTTGCTCAAGAGCGCAACAGTCTCCAGTCCGCTACGCTGGAAACAATTTTGTTTCTGCGTGAGAATGGTGACTTCTGGGACGTTTCGACAGTCGATAGCGTCAATTAGTGTGAGTAACAGTACGTCTAATACCCCGTTGAAGTTGCACCACATTATTTATTTATTGCTCGAATACATTACATAATTTATGCAGATACAAATGACAAGATCCTGGCATTATTTATGAGGCTCTATCTGCGCTAATAAATGACAATACCATATTCGGCAGTCCTGCTCGCGGTACATGTGGATTTTTGCGTTATCTAGGATAACAATGGACCTGAAAAACAAAATGAAAACTATAGCGAGTCACAGCATCTAACCACTGCTTGCAAGTACCTCGGGAGCGGTCATGGATTAATGTACGGAGCATTTTTTTGTTCTGAAAGCCTCGTGAAAAGCTAAACGATCAAAGGTTCCTGTAGTAGACTCCCACGTGAAAAGGCGCACACGTCAAAAGCGGCTAAGACCGATCGTCTTTCACCTCTAGTAAACGGCAGGCTAACTATTGCCGGCAGGGCAGCCGAAAAATAAATTGACGCTCAAGTAATTGTTATAAATATTATTGCATAATTTATGAGCGGTGGCTTAGACCGTACCATTATTTATGATACCAGATTACTATTC